GGAAGAAATGGGGGGGGGGTGTTGTTGTCTTTTGACATTTTAGCTAACATCTTTTACATCAGTGGCAGGTTGAGTCTAAATCAGAATGATTTTACTGAGCTAATGCTTATTTTAATGAATGACAAACATGTCCCCTATTTAGCTTTTATTGAAAATACATTCAATAATTTTAATTGTGTCTCTTCCTCCAAAAAAATTATTGAAAAAGATTTATCAATTATTTCCTCAGTCATAATACTGATTTCATAAAGTGGCAAAATTCTACTGCAATCCTTCCAAAGCCATACTATACTTTACAAAATATCATTTTTAGACCTCTATGAGTCATACTTGAATGACTACTACCGGTACGTGAAAAAAAGGCTTGCTTGAGAACATCTCTGCAATAAACTTTCGTTTTACTGTGAATTGAAATTAAGGTGGCTGGTTGATAGACAGCACATGCCTTTTCTCCAAATTTCCCAAAGTGGAAGAAACAAAGGTCTTAATAAAAGTAGTCTGATTTTCCGTGGAAATTCTAGAACTGTCAGCAGACTTACAAACTAAAATGAGTTTTGTTAAACTGGGTTTGTTAACAATGTGAAGATGGCAAATTGCATGAGGTCGGAGCTAATAAAATCAAGGAACAAAACTGATTAAACTTGAAGGATTATACAATAGATAAGGCCTACAACATATTAATTTTCAAATAACATTTCCTGTGAACTAATATTGGACCACATCTTGCTGATCTTCCAGAAGAGATTTTGCCATCTGGCCTGGATATCTGGTAATGTGAAGCTTGCAAAGTGCTAGTGAAACTGAGAGTATTCTGCAAATTCTTTTTTTTTTAATGTTTTGTAATTATTTTTAGCAATAGCAATTATAATATATATATATATTATACATATATTATATATATGGCTTCATAGTGTTTTACAGCAATTTACAGAATCAACATATTGCCCGCAACAATCTGGTTTCTCATTTTACCAGCCTCGGAAGGATGGAAGGCTGAATCAACCTTGAGCTAGTCAGGATCGAACTCCAAACTCTGGACAGGGTTTGCCTGCGATGCTGCATTCTCCTATGAGCTGCTCGGAGCATCCAGAGATGAGAGGTGCTTCAGTCTCTGCTTGCTTAGGCTGAGCTTGAATTGAGGAATGCTCCTCCTTCTTCACGTGACTCTTCCAGGGCATTCCCCAGTTGTTGCTCAGCCTCGTGCGAGACAGGCTGTTCTGCTCTTTGCTCCTTGGCCGAAGCAAGAAATCTTGGACTTTTTTCCTTTGTTTCATAGCTATTTCAATCAGCGCTAGATCAGCTTAAGCTCAGGTTTGATTATTCCTCTCCGTAGCCCCTGCGCAATTGCTCTGACTGGCACTCTAGCCACTAAGGGGAAGCGCAGTTTGCACCCCCAAGGGAGGCCAAGGGAGGGGCAGTAGCGATCTTCGCCCTACCTCCCACGGCCAAATAATACCTCTTTCTCTCTCTGCCTATATCTTCGTTGCTGCTTGCCAATTGCTCCGTTTTGCAGCCACTTGCATTTTATCACTCCGTTTGAGCCGCTCTGCTAATTCCCCCCGACTCTCGAACGCCTTTTTCTTTCCTTCCGATATTATTTCAAGGAGAAAGCCCATTCTCTCCTTTTAGTTCCTAGATAAACTGAGTTTCAGTCTAGCTGACCAGGTGGGGAAACACTGCTGCAGGTGTGTCATCTTAACGGCCGCCATTTTGGAGGCTGCCTCGTGGCGCGCGCCATTTTGTCTCTCCTTAATCAAAGCTGTGAGTTGATTTTCAGTGATTCAAGCCCCCGCTTGGCCTTATTTCAGAGTCTATTCCAGTTTTATATATTTCTGGCTTGTATTTAATTGGAGTACTTGTTGGCTCAACCCCACAGCTCCCTCCAGCAGCGCAGCAGCCGCACCCAGGCCTTTGTGTCAGCCTGTGCAGGGAGGCTGCTGCAGGCCCTAACTCTAATTACCGGGCCTAGGCGTCTTTGAAATTAGGCTAATTGGCCACCTCTGTTATCCCAGGAGCAGGGCTACAACTTAGAATATAATATTGACTTCTGATCTAACAGGATAATATTTTCATACTCAAAATATTATCTCTGAGGGGCAGCTCAATTGTTGTTCTCTTTGACTACATAATCATATATCTCCTCAGAGATATAGATTAAATATTTAAAAAAAAAAGAGAGAGAGAGAGAAAGAACAACAACACCTAAATTATACTAAAAGGGGGAAGTAATATTGATCAGGGACACCGTCTTTGCATAGATCAGGCCCTGGGTGTGCCAACCACCTCATATTGTTCTCTAATTTACCACAGTTACAGCTAAATCATCGCAATGGCAGATGGTAATTCTTCTAGAGGACCTTCTTTGAAGGCAAAAGCCAAAACCCACCACTTGCGCCAGCAGGCTAAGGAGACCTCCAAAGCGGCCGAGAGGGACGCCCTAAGGTGCCACAAGGCCCTGCAAAAAGAAATAGAAAGGAGATCTAAGGAAGCACTCAAGGTGCCTCAAGTTCCTCCATCCTCCAGTCCCTCTACCTCTGCTCATCCTCACCCCCCCCAGATGTTTCCTTCTCCTCCAGGCGCAGCTTGCCATCCCAGGAACAACAGGTCCTGGTTCCTGAAACATTGGCCAGAAGGGCTCCAGAGGCCACCTTCACCCCAACTGCTGCTGGGCTCAGACAAGAGGAGTCTCTCCCTGAGGAGATCCCTGAGAAGATAAGATCCTGGGTGGAGTTGGCTATTCGCCAAGGCATCGCAACTGGCATCCAGCAAGCCACCAGATCCAGTCTGTATCTGGTAGGCTCTGACCAGGAATCTCACTCAGTGAGGTCTCTGCCTAGGTCTGAACAGCATCTGGTTCAGGTGCCCCTGCATAGGGAACCCTCCCCCCAAGGGCGGGAGGAGGAGGCAGAAGAGGGGAACGAGGAAGGTGATCAACTCATGGATCCAGACAACTTCGATTTGTGGTCCATACACTATAGCGAACCCCTATCAGACATAGACCCTCTAGGGGACGAAATGTCCAAGGACGAGGGGCTCACCCCTGACCAGCCTGCCTTCGCAGGTCTCTTTAAGCTGCAACTATTCAAATCCTTACTGTTTAAGGCCAAAAATATTTCAGGTCTGAGTAAGCAATCCCCCTCAGTACACCCTGCCCCTCCTGGGGAAGGACCTGAAGACCTCATTTTTAACCAACCCGTGGTGGAGGCTGAAACTATTCCAGCTCCCCCTATCCTTGCAGATCTGGTTCAAAAACAACTGGCATCTGTAGCGGTCCCCCCAGCCCCCTCTAACCACGACAAAAATTCTTCAATCTGGATCCAGACTTCTCTAAACTGTTGAACACCCCTGAGGTCGACGAGCCCATTGTGTGTCTGGCATCCTCCTCGATTCCGACTGAAGCGTTAGAGGCCCTAAAGCCGGAGGAAAAGTGGGCCGAGCTGCCTTGCGCAAGGCCCATCAGTCGGATGCATGGGCCATAAGATCGGCTACGGCCGCTTCTTTCTTTACGAGGTCTTCAATTCGATAGTTGCGCCAGCTCAAACAACATATCCCCCCTTCTAACACCAGAGCACACCAGGACATTGCTAAGATCACCGCCGCAGCTGAATTTTTGGCGGACCCCACATATCACACGGTCAAATTTTCTGCCAGGGCAATTACATCGCACGTCCAGGCCCGCTGCCTGCTATGGCTCAGACACTGGCAGGCGGATTTCAGAAACAAAGCCAAGCTGGCCTCCTCTCCCATAGTGGGGGACAAACTATTCAGCCCATTCCTGGACTCTTTACTTATGGAGACCAAGAACAAAAAGAAATTTCTCCCTTCCCTCACCAGATGGTCAGATTCCAGACAGTTGCAGCCCTTTCGGAGGAGCTCCTTTCGGCCCTCCTATCAGGCCCCCTTCTCTCCCAGATATCAGAGCTCCGTCCCCTTTCAGACCGGGCCAATTCCAGGATAGATCCGACTCTGGAGAAAGGAGTAGGAGGACCAGCCAATATAAAAGGCCCTTTTGGGAGTCCGGAAGCAGGCCTTACCATCGTCCCAGATAGACATAAGGACTCTATCCCCATTGGCAGGCGCCTAAAGTCGTTTGCCAGTATATGGGACTCTTCTACTTCTGACTCTTGGGTCAGGGACACCATTAGATTTGGCCTTGCCCTTGAGTTCCATTCCACCCCCCAAAACTTCTTTATGTCATCCCCCCTCTCCAAAGACCCGATTAAACGCAACCTGATGGCCTCCTCCATCCAGCACCTCCTTAATATAAGTGCCATCCAACCTGTTCAACCCGACCAACGAGGTCAGGGGTTTTATTCCCACCTTTTCATGGTTCCCAAACACTCAGGGGGATAGTGGGCCATCTTAGATCTGAAGCGCCTTAACAGCTTTTTAACTTACCGCAAGTTCAAGATGCACACCCTTCAATCTATTGTATTGGGGATCAGACAAGGGGATTTTCTCACATCCATAGACTTAACAGAAGCTTACCTACATATTGCCATTCGGCCTTCCCATTCCAAATTCCTAAGGTTTTGTTATAATAACCAACACTTTGAATACATGGCCCTTCCCTTTGGCCTGGCTTCCGCCCCCAGGACCTTTACTAAGGTCCTGGCAGCTCTGGCGGCTCATATCAGAAATACCCCCATCTGTCTCCAATGTTATCTAGACAATATTTTGATTCAATCGCCCTCTATCGATCAGGCAGTGAGGGACACCCAGGCCACCTTAGATGCCCTTCAGGAACATGGGTTCCTCATAAATTGGAAGAAGAGCCAATTAGCTCCTTCTACCCGGATAACCCACCTGGGGGCTCTTATCAACACAGTGGAAGGTAAGGTCTACCTGTCTTCAGAAAGACTCCTTAGTATTCAGAAATTGGTTAAGGAAACTAGGCACTGCAAGAGGGTGCCCTTATTAGAATTGTCAAAATTATTGGGGAAAATGATTTCCTGCATTTCTATTGTTCCCTGGGCCCGTCTTCCTACCAGATCCCTACAATGGTTCCTGCTCCCGTACCAGAGATCCGGCAGAAGCAATTCCAAGCTCCCGGCCAGGGTTCCTCCCAAGGTCCTCACGTCCCTCCTCTGGTGGACAAGACCACTCATCAACAAGGGCTGCTTCTTCAAGGAACCTCAAAGGCTGACTATCACCACCGATGCCAGCCTATTCAGATGGGGAACCCACTTCCGGTCTCTCTCATCCCAGGGGAGATGGACTGCAATAGAACAATCATGCAGTATAAATTGGCTGGAGCTTCACGCCATTCTCCTGGCCCTGCACAGCTTCCTCCCCCAGGTACGCGGGCAACATGTCCTCATTTTGACAGACAACGTCACAGCCAAAGCACACATCAACAAGCAAGGGGGCACACATTCAATCCAGCTGATGAAGGAAGCCGAGCGCCTCTGTCGCTGGGCAGAGACCAACCTTCTGTCCATCAAGGCAGAGCACATATCAGGGCTATCAAATATCCAGGCAGACTGGTTAAGCAGGGCCACCATAGACCAATCAGAGTGGCACCTCCACCCATCCCTGTTCAGAGAGGCAACAAGGATATTCGGGAAACCGGTGATAGATCTGTTTGCCTCCCCCTCAATACCCAGCTCCCGAGATTCCTGTCAAGATACCCCTCCCAAGGAATGGAGAATCACAGTGCGCTCCGCTGCCCATGGCCCTCGGGGCTCCTCTATGCATTCCCTCCTCTGCCTCTGCTACCCAGGGTTATCCAGAAGCTGCTCCACGAAAAGGCGGAGTTGCTCCTGGTGGCTCCCTACTGGCCCAGACGACCGTGGTTTGCGGATCTCTGCACTCTTTCAGTGGCCCCTCCCTGGAGGATTCCACCAGACAGAATTTCCTTGTCCCAGGGGCCCCTCCTACACCCGGACCCGCAATGGCTCCAACTGACTGTCTGGAGGTTGAGCGGAGCACTTTGAGGAAAGGGCAGCTCTCAAATAAGATCATTGACACCATCCTAGCTGCCAGACAACCATCAACAATCCGAATTTATAATGCCACATGGGCCATTTTCTGTTGTTGGTGCAACAAACTTCAAATCAACCCAGTTTCTCCATCCATAGCTCAAATTTTAGAGTTTCTCCAGGAGGGACTTGACAAAGGGCTGTCTCCTAACACGCTAAAGCATCAGGTAGCTGCCCTGTCATCAGTCCTTTCTTACGAGGGTCTCAGTTCCCTCTCTCACCATGCCCTCATCCGAGCCTTCCTTAGAGGGGCTACCAATTTACACCCCCCCCCCCAGTCCACCATTATCCCACCTGGGACCTGAATAAAGTCCTCCTCTCCCTCACCAGAGAGCCTTTTGAGCCCTTGAGGGAGACGGGTCTCCAATTCCTCACATATAAAGTGGTTTTCCTGGTGGCCATTATATCAGCCCGACGTATCTCGGAAATAGCAGCTCTGTCTGTCAGGCAAGACCTCTGTGTCTTTCACGCAGATAGGGTGATCCTCCGACCCAACCCCACCTTTCTGCCAAAGGTTAATTCAGCCTTCCACAGAGCCCAGGAGCTCATCCTCCCAAATTTTTGTCCCAACCCGTCGCAGAAAAGGGAACAACAATGGCACAAACTCGATGTAAGACGTGCTCTGCGTATTTACATCAAACGTACAAAGCCTTTCAGGAAGTCTGAGGCCCTATTTCTGTCTTTCCAATCCAAAACACTGGGACACAGGGTGTCATCTTCTACCATAGGACGATGGATTAGGGTGGCCATAGCTAAATCGTATCAGTCCCAAGCCCTTCAAGTTCCTAAGGGCATAACAGCCCATTCAACCAGGAGCGCAGCCACCTCTGTGGCCTGGGCTACCCAGGCACCAATAATAGAAATATGCCGGGCTGCGACTTGGGCCTCACCTTCCTCCTTCATTCGGCACTATAAAATTGACGTGTTTGCCTCTGCAGAGTCTTCCTTTGGCAGGCGGGTCCTGCAGCATGTTCTTAGGGACCCTAGGGAGATTCAGGACCAGACGGAGTCCCTCCCTTAGGACAGGCCGAGCAGCTCATAGGAGAAGGGGCGTTGGTACTTACCTGATACGCCCTTTCTATTTGAGCTGCAAGGAGCATCCAGCCCCACCCTAATTTCCTCTGGTGGGGCCAAGGACCAAAAAATTATTTAGGTGATAGGGATAGGAGCAACCTTTTTTTCCTCTCGCCCTCGCAAAACTGGAACGCCCTGGAAGAGTCACGTGAGGAAGGAGGAGCGTTCCTCAATTCGAGCTCAGCCTAAGCAAGCAGAGACTGAAGCACCTCCCATCTCTGGATGCTCCTCGCAGCTCAAAGAGAAAGGGCGTATCAGGTAAGTACCAACACCCCTTCTAATCAATGCAGCTCTTTGTTGCTGTTATGGTTTTAGTTATTTTGTTTTATTGGTTTTGTGTTTTTAAATTTGTTACACTGCTCAGAGGTGTATAAGTGACATGGACATCTGAATAATGTACCAAATCAAGATTAATAAAATATTGTCAAACAATTGCAAGATGAGAGACTTCTCAGTCTCATAAAATCAAAGGGGAAGATATGCATATTCCCTGTAGAATCTACTATTGGATTGCTCTTCATTTGATAAAGCCTGGCTTATAGCCAAGAGCTTTGAGGGCATTTTCAATGTCTCCAACAGCTGCCTTATTGCCAACCTGGGATTTACAGATATAATAACACTTCTGTGATCATTGTGGATATTTTATTATTACTTCACAATGCTGATGTAATTGATTTGAAGTAAAATCAAGGGAATGGAGAAGTGCTACTGAGGTTTGACAGGACTACACTGGATTCAGCCTTTCATAAGTATATAAATTATGGCCTACCTCTTACTGCAACAGCAGACCTGTATTACAACTGCATTGCTTCAAAATGCCCAATAAGGCTTACATTAAAAAGAAGTCTCCTCTATCAAAAATAGTCATGGACCAGACCCCTGGGACTATTTGCCATCAATAACTTATGAGGAAAATGGATGAAGAGCATCTTGCCTTTTGAAGTGCCATATTTCATTAAAAATGTTTATTAAATTATCAAGCCAATGAGCAGCTGCATTAGAGTGGAGTCTCATGGTTCGGGGCCATTTTCTAAATCAGTGAACCAAGCTATTTTTAACTGGAGAAGAATAAGAAATGGTAGTTGTACATTTCAAATGCAGTCTTTTGAGGAAGTGAGTAGTGAGGGCACCTGTCTCGCATGCTATTTATGTTTTAAGTTGTTTCTTACAGGACAATACAGCAGATAAATGAAGAGCTTCTGCCTAGTGACAAGCCTGCTTGTTACTCTTACTTGATTTGAAATTAAGGCTCCTTTCAATGGTCCTTTCTACCACAGTCTTCCTGAAGGACAAGACATCTTAATGGTGCAGAGGACTATGTATATGGTAGGCTCATTACAAATCTTTGCATTTCTTTTAAAAAATAATTTTATTTGGAACTGATTTTTGTGTCTAAGAATTTTAAGACTGAGTTGCTCTTTTTTATTCATAATGAAATCATTTCCATTTTTTAAAACATATTTTCTAAAAAACTAATGAATGTTATTTACAAAAAAAGAGGCTAGTAAGTAGGCTCACTAATCCTAAGAATTAGCTTTTATTAGTTTTAATTTGCAGCCTTGATCCTGACAAACATAGCCAAAATTATATCCCAAACACTAGTTCTTCCGTCTGAAATTGTTCTGGTTTCACAGAAAACTACAGGGAGAGGAGAGGGTTTCTATTACTACACAGCAGCTTGCATATAAAAAGTTGCTAACATGAAAAGATTATTCTAAGAATTAGTAGGCAAGAAAAGAGACATTTCATGCTCTTACAGGTTTTACAACTTTGTAACTAAAATAAGTAGATTTTTAAAATAGTTTTATAAAGTGTTACAATTTTACAAATAGCTCAAAACATAGATTACAGGAATGTAGCCTGATGCTTCAACTCTAGTTGATATGGCTGATATGAAATTTCACCAATATGTCTTATATGTAACCATACAAGATTTTGAGCATCTTTTAACATAGTGTATCTTTTTTCTCTCCGAAAACCATGTGTTCTTTATCCCTCTTTCTCTTTCTGATACATTTCAAGCCTGTCAAGTTTGCCTTAGAACATTTTAATTGATTGATCTGAGGAAAAAAAGAAGTGAAAACATTTATGGAAATTATCATTGTCACCTGCTATTAACTGTAGATGTAAAGGGAAATTGTTAATTTAAAAAACAAAAAAATAGAATATAATCCTTTCTAGTCTCTTCTCTGTTCCTCATTCTATTCAGAGGTTATCTGACAATTTTTTGAGGGAAAAAATATTATGTAAATGGAGGGATGATAGATTTCTAAATCTTTCAATTGCACTAAATATGCACAAACATAGAAATATGCACATATTCATATTTTTCCCTTTGCCTCAGAAAATTCATTAATAAAAGATGGAATAGCTGCAGTATATTTTGATAGAAACCACTACAAGTGATTTTTCTGGAAGAATCGGTTGACTTTGCAACACAGTCTCTTCCTTAATCCAATTTATAAAATAACCCTTTTCTTCCATTTTTATTCACTTTTTAACCCCATGCTTTCTCTGGAAAGGAAAGAAACATGCTATGAGAATGAGCCATGGGCAACTGAAGCTATCTGTGCTGAATAATATATATCTGTGGAAAAGCATGATATTTGTTTTCTTCCTTTGTGAATGGGAAAGTATGTGGTCTGTATTTTGGCAGGGACATGTTTCATTCCCATACTCAAAAATGCAGAAACCACAATGCAAATCTCGCTAGGTTTTAATACTCAGAGGTATCTAATGCTATAGGGTCACTGAAAGGATGAATGAGAAGGATGGTCTGCTGTTCTCATTAGAAGCAAAGCAACAATAAATTCTTCTACCCAATCCCAACTTTCCATGCATTTACTTTTCCTCCATTCTGCTAATAATTACATATGTTGTAGGCCTTCAGGTACTAATATCCTCACTCTTTTCTTACAGTACATATTTTCTTCCCATATTTTCTCCCAGTTAACCTGCCATTTTATTCATTTTAAAATATTGTCTTTAGAGTGCAACTCTAAAGCCTTAAGAGTACAAGAGCCCCTTATTTGTGAAGGTGGGGTTTAGAGTGCACACAAAAGTATGCAGAAAACAATCTCCATTCTTGTTCAACATATTGCCTCTGTTTCACCTCACTTACTCTATCTTCCTTCAATTTAGCAGGTAATATTTCACTGCAAACAGTTACTGTATTCGTGTTCTTAGACCATGAAGAGAGGGCAGAAATATTTCTGCATTCCTTGACCATCAGGGTAAGCATCTATCTTTCAGCACAATTAGTTGCCTAACTGAGCAGTTGTATTTCATAATACACATTTTGTCATTCTATTAGTAATTTTTACAGTAGAAATCATTGGCATGCAGCAGTTTGGAAAGTGGACTGGAAATTATATTGGTAAAAGTATAAGATTAAGACATTTAGGTTAGTTATTGGTCTTGGTGCCATTTTAAAATAAAATTTCACAAAAATGTAATTATGATTGCTTAACTATAATATAAATTGTCTAAGTGGGGTTTAAGATGGGGTTATAAAAGGAAAATAACATAATTTGGTATCTGTAGAATATTTTTAAAATAAATAAGCTTGCAATTTATTAAGGGCGACAGGGTCCCTCCATCTCTGACACCAGATGGTCCTGTAATAAAACACAATTTACTACTAGAAGACAGTTTTTGATGGGATGCATACAGTTCACAGGGTTCCTGTTAGAACTGTGGAAATTCTTCCCCAAAGTGCCTTGGAACATGCAGTCAAAGCACATATGCATGCTGAGAGCGGGTAGTTCTCGACTTACAACCATACAGGTAGTACAGGTAGTTCTCGACTTACAACCATTTATTTAGTGGTCATTCAAAATTACAACGGCACTGAAAAAAATGACCTATGGCTAGTCCTAGAAGTTATTCCATGACACATGATCAAAATTCAGGTGCTTGGCAGCTTGCAGGTGTTATGATAGTTGCAACATCCCAGATCATACAATCACCATTTGCAACTATCACAAACATTTGCTGGTTTTTTGACAAGCAAAGTCAATAGAGGAAGCTAGATCCACTTAGTGACTGTTGATTCACTTAACAACATCAGTGATTTGCTTAACAACCATGGCAAAACAGGTTGTGAAATTAGGCACAACTCACACAACAACCAACTTGCTTAGCAATGGAAATTTTAGTCCCAATTGTGATCATAAGTCAAGGAGTACCTGTAAAATAGAATGAAACAAAACAGAGACCTCTTTAGAAGACATAATTCTAAACCATAATTCTTTAAAAAAAATAATGACTGACCTAGTGACAATTATTGTTAAAACTAGCTTTTCTTTCAAAAAATAATCTAACTCAGCAAATATTGTTTTCAGCTTGGAAATTTTCTATCACATCTCTTTCTAGGCTCCCTGTGATCTAGATATTAGAACCTCTAAATTTCCACTGCTAACCAGAGAGATATGCTAAGAGTACCTCTAAATGTAGACAGAATGTCTTTTGTTTTCTACCAGGTGAGTGCAGAAACCTTACCTTTTCTCTGCCACCTCTCTTTGTCTCTTTCTTTTCCTCTCTCATACACAAATGTATACACATGGAGGCCAAGACAGCTTTTTAAAAAGCCTATTTTAGCACCTCTTTCAAAAAAAGAAGTAAAATAATATATAATACTTACCAAAGGAACTCTACCAAGCACAAAGGCACTCCAACGTTCTAAATGCTCAGGTCTTCCGTATGACTGAACGTTGGCAAAATGTAGTTTTTACACTGCCTTTCTTACTTATCAGTTCTGCTGTCCTTCTGAAGCCCAGATTGCTTGATTGCTCATGAAATCTCTCTTTCTTCATTGGTTCTTTTTGGGTAAACCCCACCTTCACAAATTAGGGGCTCTTGTACTCTTAAGGCAGTCTACTTTACAATTCTACACCAGGTTATGGAAGAATTCTTGGAAAGAAAAGTCCTTATGCAGGGATCCCAGGGGGACAGCCTTACTGTGCTCCACATGGTTAACACCAGGAAGAAGAGTAATTAAAGATGTTGAAAACCAATGTTCTCTTATCCAGCCCTAAATACTGGGTGCTAAGAAAACTGCATTTGAATAGAATAAAGCAACTTTTTCTATTCTCCTGCCCTCCAAATACAATGAACATATAATAAATTTATTCTTAATCTAGATTGCCTGGAAATTTTAATCTAATGTGCTGTTTGAATCTCACAAATAGAATTACTTATCTGTCTGCAAATAGTAATGGACATAATAGGCTTATCTGTTGGGATCTTATAAATTCAGTCCAAATATCCCAGTTATCCAGAAAGATTTACCAACAGATACTATACATAGAAACACCCAAGAGAATCCCAAGACTTACTCAAGTTTCCAGCACATGTCTTAGGCAGGAATCCTAAGACCTTCACAGGGTAATGCTGTACAAACAAACTTCCTGAGTCCCAGTTGCTCACTAGCCTTTGACCCTGTGGTAGACCATTAGCCTTCATAAGTTCTATGTCACTTAATCAAGTGACTCTTAAGTAGCTCCATCAAGTCTGCTCCTTAATGTAGCTAAGCCTCCTATACCTCTCTGTCATGTTTTCTTCAGTTTCTGGTGTGTTTCAGTTGCTGAAGGGGAACATGAAAGAGGTCTGGTCCAATATTTTCTACATCCAGGGCCAGGAGAATGATTAGATTCTGACTTGATATCAATGCCAGATACAATAAAGTCTTTGTATTGCTTTTGGGGAAGGTTTCTTCTGCTCCTCTTCCTCAATTATGAAGGATCTGTAGAGCAAGCATCAAGTACCCTCTGATTGCCCATCCTTGAGCAAAACAATATTCTTTCCCCCATCCCAGGCTGCAGAAAACTGGATTAAAAAGGTGTAAGCCAGAAAGGAAGACAAATGTCATTTCTCTCCCCTGTGCATAAAATTTAGGTAAAGGTCTTGTAATGCAACATTTCATACAAAATGGCATTTGTTCTAGATATCTGGTAGCGATAAGGGAATTCAGATGATATCATGCCAATAATTTCTTCAACATACTTGAATCACCAAAAAAAGTCCCTATTGGCTCATTTGCTGACCTAACTGTAAATCTGGGCATACTGCTTTATAGTTATCAAAAACTCTGTATTTCCTGACCTTTTTTAAAAAAATGTTTTGTTTACAAATATTTATTTATATTTTACACATCTTCATGTGCAGCATATCTCTGCAGGAAAGAAGAAAAGGGAAAGGGAAAGAGAAGAAAAGGAAAGGAGAAAGAAAAGGAAATTGGAAAGGAAGAAAGGAAAGGAAAGGAAAAGAAAAGAAAAGAAAGGAAGAGATAGATTTGTGTTGCATACTAGAGAATGGAGGGGGGGAGGGAAAGAGAAAAAGAGAAAGGAGCAATCTTTGGATGAACCTGATGAACTTAGTAACAACAATAAGGTAACAAAAAGTACACTCTGGGGGTCCAGTGGTGGAAAGGAAGTCAGAGATTTCTGAGACATATTTGTGGTATAATAAGGGCAAGGGAAGAAAAGCTTGAGGAAGGGGAAGGCATTCCTGATAGAGCTTAAAGCTTCTCTTCTTGATGTAAAACTATTTAAGAATGTTCAGTGTTTAATTGCTTAAATGAATTCTATTGTATTTGGCTGGTATGACAATACTTTTCTTTCTTTTCTTTCTAGACTACTCATCTCTGGCTCGCAAGCCGATTGATTTTCTTTGTTATTTCACTGGCTTTAAAAGAGATTATAGTAATGCCATTTTATAAAACTTTACCTTGCGATGTGAATAATATAAAAGATACTTCCAAAATGTATTTGCAAGTTGACTGCAGTGACCGTAAACTCATAGAGTTTCCAAAAGGCATTCCTGACAATGTTACCAACCTGACACTTGCTGTTAATCACATTTCAAAGATTTCCAAAAGCCATTTTAAGAACCTGAAAAACCTTCAAGAAATTGATTTCAAATGCAATTGTGTGCCAGTCAGGCTGGGACCTAAAGATCACGTTTGCACCCAGGGTCTGAAAATCCAAGCTCATGCTTTCTCAAAACTCTCCAACTTAAAATCACTATATTTAGATGGCAACCAGCTCTCAGCAATTCCCCAGCATCTCCCACCTAACCTACGACTTTTGAGTCTTGAAGCTAATTCCATTTTTTCTATCAAAGAAAATTTGTCAGGACTTAAAAACTTAGAAGTACTCCAGCTAGGGCAGAACTGTTATTATCGCAACCCCTGCAATATATCTTTCGAAATTAATGGAGCAGCCTTTCAACCTCTCACAAGTTTGAAAGTGTTGTCTTTAAAAGCCAACAACTTATCAAAGGTCCCACAAAACCTACCGTCAAACTTAAGAGAACTCTACCTTTATAATAACGCAATTCGAAATATCAACGAGCATGATCTGTCTTCTCTGAATAATTTGGAAGTGCTTGATTTAAGTGGAAACTGCCCTCGTTGTCACAATGCCCGATATCATTGTATTGAATGCCCAGGAAGCATTATAATCAATCCCAGAGCCTTTGACTCATTGAAGCATTTAAAGGTCCTGAGGCTGCACAGCACCTCCCTTCAACAAGTAGACTATCATTGGTTTAAAAATACCAGGAACCTTCAAGTGCTTGATCTTTCACAAAATTATTTGGCTCGAGAAATTCAGCAAGCCCGTTTTCTATGGTTTCTTCCTAATCTTGTGGAACTTGACTTATCTTTCAATTATGAACTAGGTTCATACCCATTAAATTTTACTTTCCCTAAAACATTTTCCACCCTGTCCAATCTGCAGTCCTTAAGAATAAGAGGATTTGTTTTCAAGGAACTAAATCGAAACACTATACGCAGTTTAATTCCTCTTAAAAAACTTAATGTCCTGGATTTCGGAACCAATTTTATCAGGAATGCTGACATTGCTATGTTTAAAGAATTCCAGAGTCTTAGAACAATAATTCTTTCTTTTAATAAAATATCTCTTTTTTCATATGAGCCAAATAACAGGCTTTACTCTATTCTCAACTCATCAGATGATCAGTATAGTGGCAACATATTGAAAGATGTGCAATATTTCAGGTATGATGAATATGCTCAAAGTTGCAGATCTAAAGATACAGAGGATATTCATTCCTTGCCTTTTGTCAATGAGACTGCATGCAGCAACTATGGAAAAACACTTGATTTAAGCAGAAACAATATTTTTTTTATCAGATCTTCTGATTTCCAGCAACTTTCAGACCTGAAATGTCTTAACATCTCTAATAATGCTATGAGCCAAGCTTTGGAGGGAAGTGAATTTACTCATCTATCCAGCTTGAAATGTTTGGATTTATCTAACAATCGAATTGATTTGCTACATGTGAAAGCTTTTGAAAAGCTGAAAGAACTGGAAGTTCTAAATCTTAGTGATAATAGCTATTATTTTAAGGCAGAAGGTGTCACACTTATGTTGGGCTTTACCAAATACCTGGTTAATCTGAAAATACTGCTTATGAATGGCAATGAGGTTTCGGTATTCACTGATAAAGGAATGGAAAGTGATTCCATCAAAATATTAGAATTTAGACGAAATCGCTTAGATATTTTATGGAAGGATGGAACTAATGAATACTTGGCACTCTTCAAGAATTTGACCACCCTGGAAAGTCTTGACATTTCTGAGAATTTTCTGACTTTGTTACCTCCTGATGTATTCTACAATCTGCCTCCAAAACTAAAAATATTAAAGCTGGCCAATAATCGATTGAAGACTTTTAACTGGAGGCATCTTCCAGCACTAACAAATTTGGAAGTCTTAGATCTTAGCAACAATCAGCTGACTACAGTCCCCTATGAACTGTCCAACTGTACTAAGACACTTCAGACATTCATAGTGCAAAACAACAAGATTAGAAAGCTGACAGATAATTTTCTCAAAGATGCTTTCTTCCTGAGGCATTTAGATCTTAGTTTTAACAGGATCAAAACAATCAGGAACTCTAGCTTCCCCAAAAATGTTATTAATGGACTAACAACATTACTCTTAAATGGTAATCCTTTCAAGTGCAACTGTGATATTGTGTGGCTTGTCCACTGGATCAATGAGACAAATGTAAAAATCCCTTTCCTAGCAACAGATGTGACTTGCGCAGGGCCAAGTGTATGGAAAGATAAAAGTTTGATTTTACTAGATTTTTATACTTGTGAATCAGACTACTCTCAGATCCTCTATTTATTGTCAGCTTCATTCATCATAATTTTCGTGATACTTCCAGTTACAAGCCACCGATATTTTTGGGATGTCTGGTATATTTATCATTTCTGCACTGCCAAATTAAAGGGCTATAAACGTCTCTTTTCATCTGAGGTTAAATATGATGCTTTTGTGGCTTATGATAATAAAGATAAAGCTGTATCAGAATGGATCCTGAAAGAACTAATTGAGAAACTGGAAGATCAGAAAGAAAAAAAATTCAGTATATGTTTAGAAGAAAGAGACTGGCTACCAGGTTACCCACTCATGGAAAACCTTAACGACAGCATATACATGAGTAGAAAAACAATATTTGTGCTGACAAACAGCTATATTGCAAGTGGCAACTTCAGAATAGCTTTCTATATGGCACATCAGCGTCTTCTAGATGAAAAGGTAGATGTAATTATCCTGATAATTCTTGAGAAGGTTCTGCAAATGTCAAAGTGCCTCCGTCTCCGAAAGACCTTGTGTAGTAGATCTTGTCTTGAATGGCCAAACAACCCTCAGTCTCAGGCTTATTTCTGGCACTGTCTTAGAAAAGCCCTCGCAGCAAATAATGAGTTCAGATATAACAAGCTTTTCAAAGAAATGGTATAACAGTCAGTTGCATTCTCAGAACACGTTTTGGAAATCATAGCAGATGTATGGGATGAGGCTGAATCTCAATCTCTATACTTGGTAGAACCAGACAAACTTTTGGTTATCTGAGGAAAGGTGCCCAGGAAGTTTAGTTCCATAACTCAATTTTCCATTTAATAACTGTTGGGTTATGTAGGAAGCTTATGGTGACTTTTATGAATTCCCCCAATCTAAGCAGGAAAAGTGAAACAGAGGAGACAGATTCCAGTTACAAATTTTCACAGCAAGACTTTATGAGTTTTCCTATGTAAGCATGTTTTCTTTCCAATATTTGATACAAGTTGAAAGAAACAATAAAAATGAATAAAGTTTTTATAATTTTTATAACAACAATTACTGTAAATTTGAAAATCAGATATTTTGAACCAGTTGTCTATTTATTTATATATGAGGGGGGAAAACTTTAAATTACATAACAGTACAATAAAAATATGGGAATTATAACATAATGGGATGTGCAGATCAGTTGGAATGCATTCAGAAATGGAGGGAAGGGGGGATGAATTGGTGATCTAAATGCTTTTTGTATAATGCTTTTTCTTTAAAAAAAAATCATTACAGTATCAAATTCAAAAAAGGAAGAAATTTTAAACGCTTACAAAATATTATCAATGACTAATAATTTTATGCTGTAATCTGAAAGCATCTTTGTGTGAAGCCAGTTTGGTATCTAGTTCAGTTCCAATCTGGGAAAAAGGCAATGGAGACAAAATGGAGGCCAGTGGCTGATTGGAAAGAGTGTCCATTTATTGATGAACAGAACCATGTTTATGGCTCTGGTGCAGCTGACCACATGGAGTTGAGAGTGGGGGGTATTAATACTTTCTCTTGGGTTTTGCACTTGAACTTCCTGTTCCTGTGCAACATGTAATCTATTGGCTGTTGTAGGGGTAATAGCTGGCTCTATAGTGTTGTCTGAGCTCCCAGATTTGAACTGCTAAGATGATGCAATGAAGGCTTGTGTTGGGCAATTTCTATTGTGGCTGAGGGTTAATCTTACCTTTGTTGAATCTTGGGTGAGGGTATTTGCTTGTGAATAGAGCTATCTATCTCTTTATCTCTTAAGTGCTGATATCTGCTGTGGGGGCTACTTTCCAAGAGCATGTTTCTCCATTTTTTTCTTTTAGGGAAATATAATATTCTGCCTTTTAAATATTTCCTAAAATTTTTCATTCTTCTAGAAGAGGGGTGGGTGCTAACTTTCAACTAGAAACTAAGACATCTTTAATTCTAGTCCTGCCATGGAAACAAAGCTAAATGGGTGGCCTTGGACAATCACTTCTTTTGTCCCTAGGAAGAAGTAGAATTGCCAAGTTACTATTCCAAAATCAGATGGTGACACCAGCTTAATGGCTACAGATGCCAAGAAAAGTTCAGAAGGCTTTTCAGGAGTCCAAAATAATTTAAAGGTGCAATTGTTTAAATGCAGTTTATGTTGATGGCTATTGATGGCTGATTTGTTTGAATGAAAAGCTTCCAAGAATTCCCTAGTGTTTGGGGATTTAGCTTGGTCTAGGATGGCCACACATTTACATGCAAAGGAGACAATTAAAAATACCTAAGGAAACAAAAACATCACATTCTCTCTAGCAGTCAACACACAGATAAGCAGGGATTAACACCAGACAAACAATCAAGCAGAAAACAATAGCTAAACAAGGAAATATATCCACCAACATTGGTAGGGCAAGCTATTGTATATAAAAAGGCATCAAACGCCACCATGACTAGCACTGATATGTTACCTAGCCAGGTAATGAAATTTCTTCAAGCAAATAATCAAGCTTAGAGACTTCCAAGGACAGTTAGCCTAAGCTACAGATACTGTTTTTATTCTCTATTCTCTTTTGTTCTTACTTGTTTAAATGTGTTTATGCATAAATGTATGAATAAGGAGTACTGTAGTGACCAGTTCACAGAACAAAGTATGAAGCAGTATGATTTAAGTGGAAACAAGGGTGGTGATTAAATGAATAAAGTTACTGTAAGGTTAGTGAACATTGTTAGTGTAGACTAGAATTAGTAAGACAACTTTTTCTGTTCATTTACCTCTTACCTTTGCTTACCACCTATCATATTTTTCTATGCTTTCTTACTGTTGGAAGTTAAAACCCACCCCTCTCCTAGGAAAATGAAATATTTTAGGATATACTAAAAAGGCAGAATATTTCCCCTAAAAGAGTAGAAAGTCAGAAGCAGAAACCCACCTCAGAAGCAAAAGCTCACCCCCACCTTTGTTAATGGAGGGGCCAGTTAAGGCCTGGGACAGAGTATTTTACATAACAAAGCCCTCTACCCATCTCACCGCATGGCTTGGGAAGATTGCATCAGCCAGCACTCAGCTGAAGCCATGTGGTCCAGACAAAGTCTACAAAGTTAGCTAAGGACACCCCCCCCCCCCAGGAGTCTGATAGCCAATGGGATACATTTCTTACACAGAACAGGAAACACTAAGGTAGGGCCCAACAGAGGGTATAAAACTAAGCGTCTCTCAGCATCTTGACCCCCTTCTTTTCCTTCACCCAACTTCTTGAAGCATGTGATGCTCTTTTCACTTTGGAGCTCCAAGCCATGTGGTCCTGTCCACCATTAAACCATCTTTCCAAACAGCCTCCATGTTTCTAGTGTCTTTTTCCCTACTTGGAACCGAACCCAGAAGGATAATTCTTCCAACATTACCATTGCTTATGAAAAAGAAAGCAGCATGGTTTGATCCATCAGCATTCTCATTCATTCTTCTTGTCGGTGTAATTCCACATGGCACTTTAAAAACAATAAAATAATTAAAAAAATGAAGCAACCAACTTCACTATTCCAAAATAAAATGGTGATACCAGCTTAATGGTTACAAGCTTACATATAGGAATTTAAAAAGCAAGAAAACTGATTAGGGAATTTTAAATCCTGAAGTTTATCTCTCAAAGTTTAAAAATGTACAAATATCACATTTTTAAATAAGAAATAGTCATTCATATACCAATCTATAGGTGGCAGCAAATGATAGTTCCTGAAACTGGATGTCTCACTTAAATTACAATAAAGCATTATGAATATATTTGGTCTTTCATTTTCTAAATTTAGTGTCTATGTGCCAGATCAAGGCCAGAATATCAAAATCTATTTGGAAATGAGAAGAAATTGGCATGCCAAAATCTGAGGTGATAAAAGATTTTACATTAGCAGCTTAACTGCTAATAGCTTGGGTTATGTAGTTATTTGTTTAGAAAAAATACATGGTGGCCACCTGTCTTAAGTAACTAACTCTGAGAGGTTAACAACAATACAAGAAGAAATAATACAGTGAAAATCCCTATAAACAAAAATACATGGTATGACAACTAACTCACAGCACAAGAACACACATTAATGCCTCTGCCAGCATCTTAGCCTTAACACTGGGGTGGGGGTGGGGACCAGATTTTTGTGACCTAACAGAAGATCATGATTTCACAAAGGAGGCTATGCCATAGGGCAAGCTCCACAACACATAAGGCACAATTCCTGGATCCCACTAGAGGATGCTGTTTCAAACAGGGCTCAGAGCATGCTAACAGCAGCAGAGACAGAAATTGTTGGAAACAGGTGACCACACAGGTAACCTGGTCCTGGGACATGCAGGGTTTTATGTCCGGCCTCTAGAAATGCGGGACCATGTGGATTCTGTATTTGCAGCAAAAGCAGAAAAGAATATTTGGGAGATTCAGGTTTGCAAATGCTGTTTTTTGGAAGGCAAACCTATCTGTTATCATGGGAAAAAGCAATTGATTAGTCACATGCCCCCTACGTAGTATAAAAAACATGAATAGACATGAAGATTAGTAGACATAACATATTTTGTGCTTATTCTTATTATTTAGCATAAAGTGAGAACATGACAGTGTGTGTGTGTGCATATATATACATATACATATACATACACACACACGTATGTGTGTATGGGAAAACATATATATATATGTTTTCTCAAGTTTTCACGAGTATTTATATGTCTGGTATTCAGCTTTATTCGGGTATTTTCCCACATCATTATAGTTATGCTTTTAAAGTTGTAGCAACGTTTTAAAGTTGTAGCAGCAGACAAACACTATACAGAAGCCTGATGATGGCAGATGAGATTCTGCCGAAACGTTGCTACAACTTTAAAAGCACAACTATAATGACGTGGGAAAATACCTGAACAAAGCTGAATACCTATGTATATATATGTATACATACATACATACAAAAAACGGTAATACATAAAATAGGAATTTGGCAGTGACCTCATAACTGGATGTCCACTTTGGCTACCCAGGCAATGGTCTCTGGCATTGCTTCTTGTAGATTTTCTAGGGAACCAGAGAACACACATCATGGGCAATCTTGCACAATATATTTAATAGTTTGAATAAGTTAGAATACAAGTTAGAATGCATTTTGTATTGCAACAACAACTACATAATTATTCAACCAGTATATGGCAGTGTTTAATTTGCCTCTATGGTCATAATCTATGGTTCCTTTATGTCCCGAGGAGAGTTTCCTGTGACAGTTGAAACCATTAAGCAGCAAACCCCATTGTGACTGTACAATATATACTTTATTTGATCTGTATGGCTATGTAATTATCTTCTCTATCAATCTGTATGGCTATAAAATAATGCTACCATTTCTATATAATAAAACAGAATTTCTAACAGGTTTTGGGCATAGATAGATAATAAAATAATTAACTGAGAAAGACTATACAAGTGGAATAAAAGAAACCAGGCCACAAGATGTTTCAATCAGGAAGTACATCAGAAGCAAACATTGTCCTATATTGCTCATGAAGCATTAAAACCCAGAAATGGGAAGGAGAATCCAAAAGAGATCGCAGCAACTACCCTGGTCCCCTAGCCCAGTAGGCGCCAGAGCCCCAGCAGCTCTAGTCCCAACTCTTTGGAAAGCCAAGGCCGAAACTGCAGCAGCAGTGCCAGCTCTGTGGACAGCCAAGACAGCAAGAAGAAGAGGACAAGAAGGACAAGAAGAAACAGAACTAAATTCAGAAAAGGGATTATTTTAAGGGATTATTTTTCTCCCTTGTTGAGTGGAGGTGTTGGAATACATGTTAGAATGTATTTTGTATTGCAACTACATAATTATTCAGCCAGTAGATGGCAATGCTTAGTTTGCATCTATGGTTATAATCTATGGTTCCTTTATATTCTGAGGAGGGTTTCCTATGACAATTGAAACTGTTAAGCAGCAA